TTATCATTAAGTTATGAAAAGAGGGAAAACGCAAATATTACTCAGGGCCAAATTCGAAGCAAAAGAAAGGAGATTATGACCTCAATACTAACAGTACGCAGAGCGTTAAGTGTTCTCAGGAATTGGAGTGAGAAGTCTCGGGGTTTGGCGCGTAGTGAAACTGGAGAATCATGTATTAGCTCACAGTGTGAATAGAGCTCTCCTTCAACCGGAGGAGAAGTGCGTGATGTAGGCAAATAGGAGGGTGCTATTGTAGGACTAGATAATTGGCTTTAAATGGAATGAAATAGAATTTTGCACGAAATTCTTGAAATAAAGCATGTTAAGATTGAAAACTATTAGGACAAGGGCAAATGAGAAATAAAACATAGAGAGGGGTTCGCTTTACGTTTAGGCCAACCGCTTGTGCAACACTCTGGGAAAAATCAAAACCATAATCTCTCTCTCCTCGTCTCCGTTGGGCGTGGGATTGCATGGGAGCGAAGCTGGGCGTTGTTTTGTTGAGAGCAGATTTGTTTTTAGTAGTTGTTTCCAAGGTGTTTGGCCAAGCGGTTGAGCCTAAACGTAAGACCCCTCTCTTGTTTTATTTTAGTCATGTTGATTGTTAATAGTTTTAATCTTACATGCTTATTTCAAGAATTCGTGCAAATTCTTTTCATTCATTTAAAGCATTTAGTCTAGCATGACCCGCCTTTGTTGCATACATCAGAGTTCTCTACCGGTGAAAAGGCTCATCAATCCTGATGAGATAGGATTCTGGAGTTCTCATAACGGCCAAAGCGGATTTTTCCAATTCAGAATTTTAGAAGGTTGCGTACTGTTGTTGACATATCGTCTGTTCTTGCTTGAAGGTTTGGCCTGAAGTATAATTTGGCTTCTCTTTGTCATGTAACTTTTATGTAAATGAAGTACATCTTCTATCTGGAAGTTTGTATAGACTCGATGTTGAGACGACGGAGGTCGAATAGAAGTACCTGGATACGGAACCAGCTGTGTTGGACAGTGGTACGTTCAAGACTTACCTGGCTGATTTTCACCCACAACTGACTCAGATGCGCTTTGTCTAGTATATGATCATTACCAAATGGAACAGACATCCAAAGAAAAATAACAGCAAATAGACACTCACACGACTAACCTAGGATTCACAAACCTATGGCTCTGATACCAAATTGAGGAAGTAGCAAAGTCGAAGAATATGATTGCGAAGACACAAATTACAAGCTGTTATACGGATATTTGTAGAAAGCTTGGAGAGACTGAAAACACTAAAATTAAAATGAACATCCCCTCAGAACAACCAACTAGTGGTCACCTCACATGTAAATGATAAAAAGAAATTAGAGTGCTCTTTAGGAACATGCCAACCAGCGTCCACCATAACAAACTTGATCATGCCAACCAACTGGCCAACAACAACCCTCAAACCTTTATAGAGAAGAAAAAAAAAAAGGGGGATACAAATGGGGGTGGAAACTTGCGTGGAGAGAAAGAAATAGGTAAGAAGGCCCGAGACAAAGTTATAAGAGAGGAAAGAGAATGGATTAACAGAGCTTGCAAGCCTATCCAAAAACCTCAGGTTTTAGTTCCAAATAAGTCGATCTCATAACAGGGGCACCATTGAGCAACAGCCAGTCACG